ATCTCCAGTGAAGAGAAAGTTTTGTGCACGGAGCAGAACACTCACTAAAATGTGTACTTTATATTGCTACATATTAAAATGGAAGTTTGGCAGAAACAAAATCATATAATAGGTATTGTATTCCAAAGGAGGCACTAGACCATACACAGAATTCAACAGGTTGTTTCAAGAAACTATTCACATGTCCTTTAACCACAAACTCACTAGAAGGACTTAAATAGATCAGGAGTGGCATATTCCAAAAGAATTTGGAGGGGAAGATTTCTTCGGGGAGAACTGTGCCACAAGTCCCACCCATCACTCCCAAGGGGACGTGAGAATGTAATGAGTGGTTTCAAGACCACTTGGAGGGCTTTATATGTGTCATATGCATTCTGGAGACACAATGGACAAGTTTCTGAGTCACAGGTAAGAAATCTAAAGCATGAGAGAGAAGGTAGCTTGCCGTTTTGACAATGGAGCAAAAGAGTTGGTGCTGGCTTATAAATTTAGATTCAGAGTAAATAATGCATAAACGCTTTTCCATGGACCAGATGTGAGGGGCACACACAAAGGAAACCTAGTGTGAGGTCGTCTTTAAGTCTCACCCAAGAAAACCACATGGTAGTTGACAATAACAGAGAGAATTTGAAGATATCGAGAGATGTTAAAGGGCTGAGAAAGCAAAATAGAGATGCACTTGGTAGGGTCAAAAGAACTTCAGGTAATATGTCCCCATAATTGGGGTAGGGGAGGGTTTCTAAAGTACTCTTAAAAGAGAAGGAGGCTACTTTAATCTCCTAATGGTCCAAGACAGCATGGACCAGTTAATGATAGCATCAGTCGGTTGAGACTCTCCTACCTTCGTCCTTCTCTTCCCTTCCAATACCCTGACTACAAAGTGGTCAGAAGTGCAGTTAGTTAGCCAGATCAAGGGAAGGGGATGAAGGTGAAAAATGGAAGTGCTAGGGAGGCAACCAACCACATCTTTTCCCAATTGTAGGATTCCAACCTCGTTCAAGTTAGGAATAGGGAGAAATCTCAAATTTAAGTTTAGAATTTTGATTAGTACATGAGAATGGACATTTTAATTATTAACTGAAGACTGTGTCTGAACTTAAGGCAACATGACTAGAAACCACAGATCTGGCCCTTATTTTCAACAGAGACAGGAGAAGAACTAGCCTTATAGAACAGATTTAAAGAAACAGCAAAAGACAAGAACAAAATTATTTTATAATTACATCTCAGGAGTTATTTTAGTTCAACTGTAACGGTTCCTTTCACTCAATGCTTAATTCATTAAATCCACATATCTAAAAAACAAAACTTGGAAAATCCATTTTTGTGGACATTTAATTATTTTAAGGTTGATTGATTAAATTCCTTTAAACAATTTGAACTGCAATTAGCAACTTAGTGTGACTGATTCTTCTGGATACTTTAAATACCCTAAACAGCAAGAAAAATATACAGAAACACAATACTCATAATGCCCAATACCTTAAAATAATACTAGTAGCAAAAGCACTAATACCATTAATGAAATGTGCTTTAATTCTTATTTTTACATCTTTTCAGGGTTCTAATTTATACCTTCCTAAGTTTCTGAAGCTTTACCAGAACCAATGTTTACAATCTTTCCAGGGATTTAAAAAAATTTTCCCAGATCTAAAAGAAAAACAATGCTAATTTAGAATACGAGAATCCAGGTTTTTGGCTGTTCATTTACATTTGTGGTGTGACACTTAGTTGTATGGTCCAAGATAAAGCAAACTTCTGTCTCTGCAACAGGCTGATTGCCTTTTTATATCAAACTTTCTTTCACTCATTACATCCTGATACCCATGTATCCCTGTCTTTAATATAAATTTTAATTTTTGAAGACTTTTCTTTCCCTAAGTTTCTCATAGCCAGAAGTCCCTATGCCATTGCCTTGATATTATGATACATTGACCTGGTTTGTTTCAAGTACTGAAATATACATATTTCTTATTACTATTTTATTAAAGTTCATAAGGATTTATTCATAATAAGTAGATACTTCATCTCCTAGGAGATGAGGGATTGAATTTTTGTGCTTTTCCTCTCAGAACATTTGGATCATTTATAATTTTGAAACACCCCATTTTGTAATGGCCATGGTGTATGCCTGTATGCCATACTTGTAATCAATGTTAATAACCTTGTAAGTCATTATTATATAAGACCATTAATTCTGGTCCTCCTTTAGTATTTAGTATGCCCTCTTTTCCCAGTCATTTCTACCTCAAGAAAAACGTCTGCCTTATTGTGCGGAAATCCTGTGTCTTATTGGTTCATTTATATATCTTTGTTCCTTTTCTTTTTTACACAAACGAGTATATGTGCTAAACATATGGAAATATATGCTAAACAGAGAATAAAATGTTACGTGTCAACAATTTCCTACTTGTTTAAATTAATAAAGATGCAAAGATCCTGCTGGAATTATTCTTTTTTTATATTACAAGTACCTCTTTGCACACTTTGTGTTTCCTCTTTTGAGTATTACTGTAAACTCATGGCTTTTTTCAGGCTTAACTTGTTCCAATTTAACCACTAGCATTATTACTTCTGTCCTTATTTGCTCTTTTGTCATTGAAGCTCTACCATGATGTTTCAAGAAGCAGCTTTGATTTCTGCTTAATAACAGGTTGTTTTGAATCCATCTCATTTTGTCTTTGCGCCAAACATAGAGTCATCTACCCTCCAGGGATCAAAATTTGTGTGCTAGGGGTGTACATGAGGGTTGATAATAGATTAGAGTAGTGCCCCTGCTGTTGGGCCATTTATAATAATGATAGAGCTGGAAAATAAGTCTTTTAAGGACATGAATTCACACTGATTTTCCAATGTAACATATTACTGAACCCAGCTTTTCTTGTAGACTTGCTTTTACACTTATAATAAATATGTAATAAGATGGAGAAAATGCATTATCTTCACAGTTGCTAGCAGAATTTCTCCTCAAGAGAGATCAACCTCCCTTGGGAAAAATGTTTTAATTTTTTAGTGTAGAAGGTGAGCTCCTCTCCCTTCCCAATTTCTACCATCAGGGCCTAAAGGGCTGACCCTGAAGTTACAGTGAAGAATTTAGCTGTCTGAGGGCTGCCAGGAAGAAGGGATTTGAGTACAGAAGATGAAAGAAGGGGAGGAAAGGAAGACTTTATGGTGTTATTATTGCCTCTGATGCTGATCCATCCACCAAATAAACAATCAAAACACCAAATTCTTGGAGTCCTGGTATGCGTGTGTGGCAATGTGTGCAGGGGCTGTCCATGAAAACTAAAGAAAGGGCTGAGCATCACGACAGATTGAGGAGGTGTAGGATAGGTATAGTATGCAAGGATGCAGAAACCCAAAGACGTGGAGAGCTCTGAGAATATAAGTTCCCTGTAAATTTGCCAAAAATTTGGAAGATCCCTTGAGACTTCAACATAGTAGAATCAGTGAGGTGATTTCATTTAGATCTAAGAAGCAGGAAAGTTCTCTGTCTTAAAAATAAGACACAAACAACTTCTTAGAATAGGGTTGCCAGATTTAGCAAATACAAACACAAAACGCCCAGTTAAATTTGAATTTCATATAAATAGTTTTTAAAAATTAGTGGAAGCACAATATGTCCTATGCAATATTTGGGACATATTTATACTATATAAAAGCCCAACAAAAAGGACTGAACCCACATCATGAAATGGAATAGAAATTGTAAACAGTTTACCAAATACATATATATTTTTTTTGCTAAACTTCTGTGATTTTATTTTGAATCTTTTCCTTTTATGCTAAAAATCTTAGTTCTAATGACAATAGCATAATTGCTTATTTGCTTTACCCCATTTTTAATACACCCATATATTCATATAAGATCAATATCAAATATATGATTAGTGAAAATATTATTATTGTTATTGCAGTTCTTAGGTATATCCTACCAGAGACATATAGGTGAATTACTGTATTTTCAAACCATTTAAAATAACACACTTCTGCATAATTAAGCTATCAACTCAGTGTGCAATTAGGGTCATTTATTTTATTTTCCCCTTGATTTTATGAACTGCCTTTTCATTCTTTTTTTTTTCTTTTATATCTTTATTGGAGTATAATTGCTTTACAGTGTTGTGTTAAGTTTCTGCCGTACAACAAAGTGAATCAGCTGTATGTATACATATATCCCCATATCCCCTCCCTCTTGAGCCTCCCTCCCACCCTCCCTATACCACCCTTCTAGATCATCACAAAGCATCACGTTGATCTCCCTGTGCTATGCAGCAGCTTCCCACTAGCCATCCATCTTACATTTAGTAGTGTACATATGTCAATGCCACTCTCTCCCTTCACCCCAGCTTCCCCTTCCCTCCTGTGTCCTCAAGTCTGTTCTCTACGTCTGCATCTTTATTCCTGCCCTGCCACTGGGTTCATCAGTACCGTTTTTTTTAGATTCCATATATGTGCATTAGCATACAGTATTTGTTTTTCTCTTTCTGACTTATTTCACTCTGTATGACAGACTCTAGGTCCATCCACCTCATTACAAACAACTCAATTTCATTCCTTTTTATGGCTGAGTAATATTCCATTGTATATATGTGCCACACCAAATTTTTTTACATATATATCAAAAACTACAAATATACCCAGTGTGGTTATGGTATCATCTGTGCCCTTCTTCATTATAAATATATAAAACCACTTAGTTGTGATAAATAGGAAAAGCTCCACCCCATTTGTTTTTGTGTTTATTTCTGTATTGATCATCCTGATTCTGCATCATTTCTTCATACCTTGCTTTCCACATTCCCCATGCCAATATGTAACAATCATGGTTTTTTAAACCTACTGTTGAAAATTCTCACAATATCTGTGTGATTGCTAAAGAGTCAAGTAGAAGGTCTTTGTAAACTATTTCTTCAGCTTCAGCTAACTCTGTTCTCCAATGCACAAGACATATCTTGAGCTGAAACTCTGGAAGACATCCATATAAGCTTTGCAAGGTGATGGCTGTGATGTTACCTAAAAATGGTCCTTCTCATGCCTCTGCACCTCATCTAGCTCTTCAGAACCTTTTCAGCCTCAGTTGTCTTGTGATACTGTTTTGAGGAAGGTGGAAAATTCTTTTTTGGTAGGAATAAAGAAGCATCCAGGTTGGGGAAAAATGTATACCTCATTCTACAGGAATCCTGTGGCATATTGTGTGACATGGAACCTTAATTGTAGCTGCTCAGCACTTTTTTCCCTCTTCCCTGATTTCACACAGGGCGCACTCATTCTTTCTGCACCCCTAATGCCCTGCCTTCTCAAGCATTTTTCCATCCTGGGCTTTTTGCATGCAGTGATGTGAGGGGAATTCTCAGCTTAGTTTAGTCATATGATGAATCAGAGACACAGAATTAAGAGTTTATCAGGGATACATACTTCCAGTGAAAGATGCATATCTAGGCATCTACAGCAAGAAACTCGTGGGTTATGCAAAATTCTTTCCAAAGGAAACAGGAAAAAAGGTTAATAAAACTTTACAAAAGTGATTGTGTGGTAGCAAAATGCATTTGTGAAAAGTGAAAATATGCCATTATCAATGTCCTGCTGAGAGAAGATTTGACTGAACTATACCCAACTGTGATAAAGAACTCACAACGATCCCAGGCCTTCCAAGGGAGAAATTAAGAAAGGGGTATAAAGTTGCCTGAGTTTGCTTAGCTTGTCAAAAGGTGGGGGGCACTCTTCAAGCCTCACTCTTCTCATCTGTACAGAAAGGGGTCTGGGCTAAATCAGTGATGCTCCAGCTGTGCTCCAGCAGGCCTTGTGTCTCTGTGGTGACACAGAGATGGGGCAGGTGGGACAGGACATCCTATCCAAGAGCCAGAACAGTTCTGACTAACTCTTTTACATATTGGAATTCACAGAAAAATTCCACTGAAATAAAGGTTTAGTACCTGTATTAATTTCCTTGGGCTGCTATAACAAATTACTACAAACTTAGTGGCTTAAAACAACAGAAATGTATTTTCTCACAATTATAGAGGCCAGAAGGCCAAAATCAAGTGTCAGTAGGGCTGGACTCCCTCCAGCAGCTTTAGGGAGATTCTGTTCCTTGCCTCTTTCAGCATCTGGTGGCTCTTGGAATTCCTTGGCTCGTGGCTCTCAGTCCAATTCCTGCGTCAGCTTTCACATGGCCTTCTCTTCTTCACATCTTCTACCTTTCTCTTCTTTTATGAAAACACTTGTCATGAATTTAGGGTCCACCCTAATCCAGATGAGAACATCTGGAGAGCTTTAAATTAATTACATCTGCAATGATGGTTTTTCCAAATAAGATCACATTCACATGGTCTGAGTAGACATATCTTTAGTGGGGCCACCATTCAACTAACTACAATATCAAAGAGAATTTAATCTAAACAATATTTTAAAGGTTCCTTTTATATATATTTTTTCAAACTATGGATTAACACATGCTTGCTGCAATAAATAAAACTTACGAAGATGTATAAAGAAAAAGCTAATTATCTACCCTCCCCTTTCTGCTTCCCTCCAATTTCACCTCTTTCCAACAATTCTCTCCAACTCATCCAGATTTACTGACCTTTCTTCCAGTCGATCTGGTAACCCATGTTAACAACCCTGTGTTTGTACCTCCATGCTTTATTTCAGGCTCATGTAATTACACACACAAAACACACACACACATACATACAAGCATATACACATATATCTGCATTGATAAGGAGTTTGAAATTGATTATAAAATTTGTATCATACTATACACACTCCTATGTATCTTACTTTTCTCTTTAAAAAATGCCTTGAGTACATTACTCTAAATTAACTAGTATAGTTCTAGTTTTTATTATTTTTTATTATTTTTAATGGATGCATAGTAGCATTATATTCCACAATGTGGACAAACCAATATTTATTTCAAGCTTTCCCTATTAGTGGGCATTTATTATATTTCCAACTTTCTGTATTTTTACCCAACTGAAAAATTCTGTAGTACATAATCCTTGTACATGCAATTTTATAAGCTGGTGATTTTATTACTATATACAACTATATAGTAATTTGTATTACTATAAATTCCCAGCAGTAGGACTACGGATCAAGAATGCATGTATTTTTCATTTCAATAAATTGGTACCAGATTGCTTTCCCAAAAGACTGCAAAATTCCATTTGTCTACCAATATATGAAAGTACCCACTTCCTCATATTACAACCAGCAATAACTGTTATCATTCTTTCCACATTTTTGCCATTCTGATGGGTGTAAATAACACTAATTTTTATTTAATTTGCATTTCTCTCACTACCAGTAATTTTGAGCATCTTCTCAAATGTTCATTGGCCATTTGGATTTTATCTTCTATGAAATATTTATCTCTATTCTTTGTTCCTTCATCTCCTAGGTTGAATATTCATCCTTTACTCACTGAATTGAAATACTACTAACTTTATCATATATTGAACTCTCATATACACTGGAATCATTTAACCAATTTTTATCTAGTTTCCTAGTTTTAGCACAACGTCACATTGATCTTTATTACAATGGATATTGTATTTCTAACGATGATAAGGTAGGTAGTTTATCCCAGCTCTTCTTTATATTTTTCATGAATATTCTCAGGCATTTACTTTTTCATATTGGATTATTTTATGAAATCCCTCTCAAAATAAAATTCTCTAGAGTCTAATTAAAACTGCAATGAATTCGTATTTTAATTTTAACAGAACTGAGATTTTTATTGTATCTCATCCTCCAAGAATATTGTGTCTTTTCCATTTTTTTAAATATTATTTTGTATAACTCAAAGATTTTATAAGTGTTTTTGTAAAATTCTACTCTTGGTAAATGTATTTCTAAACATTTTATGCTTGTACTGCTATTTTAATGGATTTTCCCCTATTTTTACTTTTAGGTTTTGTTAACTGAGAGAAAATCTATTCCTTTACTCTATTTCATCTTCTACTTGTTTATCTACACAAATATTTTCTTCATACCATTCTTGTGTTAGAATTCTTGGCATTTTTAAATATATAATCATATTCATCAGTAAAAAAGAGATGATTTAATCTCTTCCTTTCCAGCACTTTGTCAAATGATCCATGTTATAACATTTGTTATAACTGCAAAACTGTTGAGTATTAACAGCAATAATGAGCATTTCCATCTAGTTCCTGATTTCAATTGGCATGATTTCAAGGTTTTAAAAGTAATTTCACTCTATTCATATTTTACCCTAGGGTATCCTTCGAAATTTTATCTAACATGCTTTCAGCTTCTCTTAAAATGATAAGGTTCTTTTCCTCTTTTAGTTTGTTGATTAGACAAATTACAATAAGATTTTTCTGATATTGAACCACCTTTGCATTTCTGGATAAATTCTAGTTGGTCTTAATAAATCTTCATTTAATACAAAGCCAGATTTTATGTGAAATTTTTTAATGTTAGTGTATCTAAATTCATATGCATAATTGGTTTATAGTTTTTGATTTTGAAATACTTTTGCCAAATTTGGGTATTAAAGTTGTGCTGTCTTCAAAAATGATTTGATGAAATTTCCATCTTTTTATTGTGTAAATTAAGTAATACGAGAAATAGCTGTTCTTTTCTTGTTTTTGCTGTACGCGGGCCTCTCACTGTTGTGGCCTTCTCCCGTTGCAGAGCACAAGCTCCGGACGCGCAGGCTCAGCGGCCATGGCTCACCGGCCCAGCCGCTCCGCG